TCAATAAGGGGTCCAAAGCCTACTAGTTAAAAGTGGCGAACTTTTAAAAACTCTCTATTTCGAAGGGGATTATAACAAATTATCAAGTTTGCTATTTTTGAAAAGGTAATTTTAAGTTCTTGTCAGTTAAATAAAAATATACAGGGTGTCCTAAATAAAAAATCAATTTTTCTGTTGATAACTCTTAAATTACTAATTTTAAACAAATTATACTTAAACCATTAAATTCTACATAAAAAGATGCTTTGAAAATGTTTTCATAAAAATAGATTCATTTCCATGCACATTTTTGAAAAACACCCCGTATTTCCGAAATGGTAACAGATATCGATGTGCGGTTTTCACCATCACGTTTTTGATAAAAATTGAGCTCCAGACACCTTCTATATTTCTCTTGTTTCCTTTCTATCTCCTATAGTAAAGAGTGTTTCCCTCTAAAAGAGTCCAATTTGACCCACCCTGTACAGGGACGATAGAGTAAAGTCCATTATCTCATTTGTTTCGAAATTTACAAAAATAGTTTAATAGAAAATATATAGGGAAGGTTAAGATACACATTTTAAAATTATTATAGAGTATACAGGGTGCTTCAAAAAAGTGTGGTGGATATAACATATGTTTTTTTAAATGCAACACCATATTTTTTATTCTATTTTTAGATTCTGCGTAAAATTCTATAATTTTTATATATGTAATGTCATATACCTAAAATTAATAGTTTTTGTAATATTTCAATTTGTTTAAACAAACGCTAGGTTTCAGTGTGGCAAAAAATTGTCAGTGATGGCATTGTTTCTGAAGTTGGACTATTAAAATTTGGTAAGAGAATTTTATAGAAATGAATAAAAAAAATATACGTAAAGATATTTTAGCTAGATGCTGGTGTGTCTAAAACTTCCAAGTTAACTAAAGATGATAGTTTTGATGTATGTCGACAGGCGTCTACTATATTTCTATGTACAAAATATATAAGACAACCTCGTAACAATCACCAAACAAACACATAATCAAATCAAAATTAACTTTCGCACAAGTAACTGTAAGAAGAAAAACAAACAGAATTAGAACACACCAAACAACCTTTACAGTACATGTACGCAAAGATAAGATTGAAATAATCCGTTAAAACATAAAATAGAGAAAAAACGAAAACAGGTAAAATAGACTTTTATTTGGTCGTATTGTTACACGTCGAAGACATTGATAGATGGGCGCCCACGTTTTCATGGCCTCCTCCGTTTCCATCCGCTGCGCTGTCATATACGCAGAGAGTTATTTACTGTGTTTAACCGTAAATATCACTGAACTAGATATAAATCTGCTAAGGCAAATGAGGAAGGTGAAGACAACAAACGGTTAACTTTTTTTTCTTCTTCTGGTGCGCGGTTAACCACTTATTATCCGCTATGTTTACATTTTCTTATTGTGTGCGTTCCTCCGCACGCCATCTTTTTTACGCGGTCGGGCTTCCAATTACATCGTGTCGTAACTATAACGAATTATGTAAAGTAATACCGAAAAAATGTGTGTAAGCTGTGTACCGTTCCCTTAATATTCCCTTGATGATGATGATTATCGTATTATCGTGTTGTTTTAAAAATAGTTAATTATGAGAAGAAAATCGCATGATTTTATTCTTCTTTTAAATATATTTTCTAGCGTTATTTTGTTGTTAATGTACTTATCCACCGGAAGTTTTATAAAAGCCACTGACATTGACATTTTTATGTGTTACTTAGATTAGATTATATATTTTTGATGTGTCTATCGGCCTGTTCCACTGCAACCTTTTCAGGTCCCGAATTCTATAACTTTGAAGACGCTAAGCACTTTTAGACGCTCAGTATATGACGTTAATTTTTGTTAGCGCGTACTTAACTACCGATTTGGGTATTCTCATTTGATGCGCTTAGCGTCTTTACTCACTGCGCTAAGCGATTTGAAAACGGCTACCTTAAACGATCGTTTTGCTTGTCGAACTGTCAATAAAAATTGAAAAAATTGTGATTTTATGCGTTCTCTTGCTTGCTTTTTAATGAAAACTATTTCTTCTTCTATAAATTCCTCAATAAGTAATTGCTAATTTACGGCTTGGCATCAGCTATAAATTTTGTTCAAAACAACGAAAATGGTGAGAATACATTTCCCTCGTATAATAAGAATAATAACATATTCATAAAAAAATAACTTGACATAGCTCAAACAAAAGGTTATGAAATTCAAGTAACATTGGCGTTTTTCATGGTTTTATTCTACATTTGACTATTAGTAAACTATTAGATACCTGAGAAATTGCAATGCTGTCAATATGTGTTGCATATACAGAAAACGATTTGCACGGCAACGAGAATTCCAAAATCGACTGCTTTGCGTTCCTTAATTATGCGATTAGCGGAACGCCAAGCAGTCGATTTTGGAATTCTCGTTGCCGTGCAAATCGTTTTCTGTATATGCAACACATATTGACAGCATTGCAATTTCTCAGGTATCTAATAGTTTACTAATAGTCAAATGTAGAATAAAACCATGAAAAACGCCATTGTTACGGGCAGAAAAAATATGATGGAAGTGCATCTTATTTTTTTCTGCTCGTAAAAATCAAAAGTATGCTATTGTACCCCTACTTATTTCAGTTAAGTATGGTTATATATAATTAAATAATTAATTATTATTATTGTATACATATGTTTAGTATTTTATATAAAGTCTCAAATAAGTGCAAATATATTCAGGGCTGGTAGATCTCGATAAAAGAAATATCGTTTCTCTTTTTTTATCAAATATAATAAAAATACATATAGTACTATTCTTTTAAAAATTCCTCAATATGGCCGACCTAGTTACAAAAATTGGTAATTTTTTTTAATGAAAAATAAGTTGGTGTTAGCAAATTCAGAAATTGATTTACTCATTGGTTAACAATAATATTTTTCAGGATTGTCAAGTTGACGTTAAAGTTAGGTTATTAGGTGGTTATCATAAATACATAGATTATTGAAATTTTTTAATAAGAATAAAGGTATTTTACCGCAGATCCGAAGAGATTTAACTTAAAGGTATTTTATAAACTTTCTCAGTGAGAATATTAACTCCCCTGTTTCTTATATTTCAGTTAAAGGGACGTAAGAACTATAGGAAGTAAATTTTTGTTTTCATGTTTTGACGATATCTGAGAGTTCCTAGAATTATCAAGATTATTGAATAATTATAGTTGTTTAATAAGTGAAACTGTATCAACTACAAAGTATTTAGCAAAAAATTATAAGGTAATAAATTTTGTATATATAATTTATGAAAATTTATAATATATAAAGATTAGAACACAATCCTCTGAAGGAAAAAGAAATACTCAAAAACTCATTAAATATACTTTATTAAAAATAACAACATACAAAAATATCCATGCAAACTGTAATAATCAGAACATTATCCACATTATACCTTTGTTGAATTTGAATCCACACTCCTGTCAGGAAAGCCAGAAATGTTTGTTTAAATATTGACTTATTTTAACTTGCCAGAAACACATCAGAATATATCACAACCACAACTATAGGTTAATCTGCACTAAATTTTACCTAGTAAGTGATGCGTTAACTAACAAGTATAGAATAAAAAACAATTATTAATATAGAGTGTACTATACAATGTCCTGCTTATTTATGAAATGACTTTCCCTTCAAATGTGAGGAATACCAGTAAAATAAAACATAATTTTTGGTTTAGTTTGGTGTTTGATATTCTAACTACATCTATTACAAACCTTAAGTGCTTTTAGTGAGTAACTGTATTTTTTATTATTCTTTGTGTATCCTGTAAAGTAAAAAAATATATATTTCAAGAAATATAAAAACAATGCAATAGATATCAAACAGATTCATAAAAACTACTTACAATTATTGTACATAATTATATATTTCAAGTGTTATTTGATGTTTGGTCCCATTACCAACATTACCTTATTTAGGTCTTCTCTACTAACTCAACTTTTAAACCTGTTTTAAACCTTCTTTATATTTTAAAACTGATTTACAACAATCTGTAATGCCTGCGCTGTTTCCTGAAATATAAGTTTTAATCTATTTATTATCATATAGTACATACATATTACAAACCTGAAAATTACTGATACGAGGAAACTTCTCAAAATAATTAGAGACCTTTTTACAAACATCTGGACCAATTTATTTTCACGAATTTGTGAACGAGTCAATGTTTTCTAATACGTTTTTAAGCGTTTTACACATTTTGAATATCTTCCAGCCTATTCGTCAATTCTTGATCGGTGAAAAGATTATTTATAACTATATATTTAGTACTGCAGGTTGCAGGTTAAATAAAAGAACAAAATCAAGTAGAATTTGTGAATAAAAACTAAAAAAATAATGAAAATATTTAGAAAAAGGAACCGTAAACGTCAATGTCAGCCAAGTGTCAGAGTTGTGTGTCAGAGTTCAATTGGATTTACCACAGGTTATCAATTTGAACGATTTGAAGTACAGTCGATTCCAGTTTAGAGATTTTCGTTTTTAAGCCTCCCATACTGAAGTCCGCCATATTGGGAAGTTTTAAATGAATACAAGTATATTTGGCGTACATTATATTGGACCACTGAATTTTTTTTTTGTTATTTTATCCCTTTAATCTACTACCTATATTGCTATATTACCAAATTTTTAGATATATTTTTTAACTGAAAATTTAAATTTTTTAAAAAAAAATTGTCAAAAATACACAATTCTAAACACTTTTTCACAAAAAAATCTCATAGACGTGTTTCTGGGGTTGAACTATACCAACCTAAAAATGTGTACACTTATTTAAAATTCACCCTATATATCACCTTTAAAAAAAACAAATTTTGCGAAACGTATAGTGTCTCAATCCTAAACCAAAACTGTGAAAAAAATACTGACTCTGGGAGTTTTTAGTAAGCTTTGTATTTAAATTTTAATTATATCTAATAAGACAAAATTTAATATAGTTTTCCTTTATTTTAGGTGGTTTTTATTGGTGAAAATCCCAACTATGTACCGTTACCTGCCCTTCGGACAAGAAATTATGCTGAAGAGGAAGACCCCGATTGGCCCAATCCTTTGGACACGTGGGACAGAGAGTACAGGAGAATCAGGTTTAACAACACCCGAGTACAACGTAAGTTGCATTGTTAGTCTATTTATATACATAAGTGTAGTCTTTTAAGTGGTTGTAGTTTTAGACAAATGAAACATAAAAAATAAATAAAGTATTTTAAGCTAACGTCCCCTTTTTGCTGATTTGAATAATCTGGACGGGGTCTGCTTTGTTTACACGGAATCCGAACCGCGGTCCTCAGCCATATCGTTGTCAATGGCCTACCGAGTTGGCGAGTGAACTCTTGGCGAAATCGACTTTTACTCACGAGATAGCATCAGCCATTGATTGTATTGTTTACTATTGTGTATTTGTTTTAGAGATTTAGATTTTAAGTTCTGAAATATTGGTTGTTGCTAGTTTAATTGGTCATGGTAGATATCAACTTTAGGACTTAAAACCATATCTGCTAGAGTAACTGCCCAACAGACAATAATAATATGATTTTTCAAAGACAGTGGTATTCCATAAATCATAAACACTATTTTATAGGTCTGTTAACTGTTGTCTGAAAGCAAAGGCATGGCTTTAATATAAAAAATTCGAAAAAGTGTTTGGTTTGGTGTCTTCTTCAAAAGCGAATATCTCCCAAAAAATAAAGCTATTAAGATGAATCAATAAACTTTGAAAACAACTTAACTTTGAAAATTTAAATAAATAATCTTACCCTCTAGTTGAGCACCCCTCAGATGTTCGACGCTCTGAAATGCCACATGAACCAGAAAGTACTCTTAACTTTATTGAAAGTGCTTCGTAATATAGCGAAAAGAGTATCTGCAATAATTGTGTTAAGATTTATTCTTTCGGTTAAGTTGAAAATAACCGTAAAAATGTACACACACACCGGAAAAGTCTAGGGATATTACAATTTAATCCAGCCATCGTCAGTAATTTTATTATTTGCATTTCTGATATAATAAAATTAAAATAAACAAATAGTTTACATGGCGTATTGGAAATAAAAATGCAAAATTTACCGAATTTTTCAAATTTGCCTTGATTTTTATTGAACTCAAAAAGATACACACATTTTTTTAATTCTAAACTGTGATTTAAAAAAAAAGATAAAACCATTTTTACTTAATAAAGGGTATGGCCTCCTCTACTGTTCATTACAGCCCTACATCGTCTCTCCATGCTCCTGATCAGGTTGTCGATCTCTTTTTGAGGTACAGCCACGGCCTGAACCAAATCCCTACGAGTTTCACGAGGCCATACCCATTTTCAAAATTCTTCTTTGGACCGCCTCCCATACGTGCTCGATGGGGTTGAGGTCAGGAGATTGTGCCGGCCAGGGTAAGATGTTTAATTGATGAGCATTGATAAACTCACTTACCACTCTGGCTGTATGAGGCCGTGCATTGTCATGCATGAGAATGAAGTTTCTCCCAAAATCATTGCCATATGGTAACACGACAGGCTCAAGAATTAAATCACGATATATGATTCCTGTTAGAAACCTTTCAAGAAAAACGAGATCGGTTTTTCGGCCTAACTGGACTCCTCCCCAGACCATAACTGTTCCACCTTGATGAGGGTTCACTTCCTGAACATGATCCAACCGAATACGATTCCCCGGTTCTCTCCATACCCTAAGCCTTCTCGAATCCGGATGAATTCCAAAGCGTGACTCATCCGTAAAGAGAACATTGGCCCATTGTTCATTCGACCACTGAACATGATCTTGAGCCCACAAATATCGTACCTCTCGATTTCCTCTAGTTAAGGGGCGTCTGCTCCTTAAGTTGACCTCTCTTAATCTATTGCGAACAGTGTCAGGACTAACGGTTACATTATGTGTTTCCTGGAGAATTAAACTAAGCTTTGGTGCTGTAAGAGTCGGTCGGCGTCGAGCATTTAATTGTAAAAAATAATCTTGCTGAGGGGTAGTAATGCGATGTCGCCTTGTGTGTCTTTCAGCAACATCACCACTTTCACGGTAGCGTACACTTAATCGCGATATTACACTTTGCGTTGTATTTAATGCTCTAGCTACGTCGATTTGGCGCATTCCAGCTTCAAGCATACCCATGGCCCCTAGCATTTTGTCTCTGTTCTACGCTCCATAATGTCGTTTAATACTAAACAGAGTTATTTGAATGAATTCTGGCCAGTTTTCATACAAACATAGCCAGTATAGGTTAAATTCGAACAATTGATGCTAGGTGCTTTTTATACATTTGGCAAAAAATGCACAAACACTTCTGCAAATATCCCAAATTTAGAAACAACTAGTGTGACTACTTCGTTTCAATCGAAGTAGAAAGAATCGGCTTACAAATATGTGGTTGTTTATATAAAACATTTACTTTTAACTTTAATAAAATGATATCCCTAGATTTTTTCCGGTGTGTGTATTAATGTGTCTGAAAAAAATAAGTACTATGCGTTTTTCTCGAATTATTAATAATGTCACTGATATAATTAAAATCAATTTTTGTAATTTATGGTGTAGAAAATTGAAATTACTGTGAACTTATAAATATATAAATAATATGTAGAACGTGGGTAATATAAAAGATTATATAAGATAAAAAATCATCACAAGACGTCGACCGTCAAGAAATTTCAGGAGAATGAACCTACGGTACTAAAAAGTGCATTTTTTAAACATCATAATATATAATTACATAAAAAGTATTACTTTTAAATATTTTTTATATTATTTGGAACGTTTAAAATTGTTTAAAAACTTATCTGTATAATTTTTACTCCTAATAAAACAATATACTATTTTCTATTAGCTCATGCACTGAAACAATTACAAATCAAGCTTCTAAGACAAAAAAATCCATTTTTTCTTCATTAACAACATTCAGCTGCGATACATCTAACCGCCATATTTTTAAAATAAAGACAACGTGTGTTTATTTAAAAAAATTAAAGGCACGCATCCGTAATACAGTCAATTCAATTTTAATAATAATAATTTAAGTGATTATCGAGTTATTACAATCTTTACAAACCTCTACTTAGGTAATCTCTACTTACTCTTTATAAACCTCTATATTAATTATTAATTTTCGATTTTTTTAATTACTTATTTAACTTTAAAATAAGTTTCTCCTCTGAGACCAGACTAACGCAAAAACCCATAGTTTACCCTATTGCCTTTGAAAGTGCACAACGCGAATATTTCCCGACCGTCTTGAAGACTTTATCTGGCATTAAAATTAATGAACCAGAATGCATTTCCATATTTTCCCATTAAAACGTGATGGATTCTGCGCATGGCTTCATCTTCACTATGCACACCTCGTTAAACTAATAGTCCGGTCAAGATAGAGTTAAAACAGGTACTCTAGGTGTTGTAGCGTTTTTTTAAACAACTACCTCTGCGAACGGCAGCTTTTCGTCGGAGAGCAGTCGTGGATAAGGTATTTCACTAGAGAGAAAACTAATCAATAACAATAAACAAAAAAATATAGATATTGGGCGCCAGGCATGTACAGAGAAAGAAAACACAGTTGTATATTACTTAAAACTAATGACTATATTTATTCATGATGAATTCTGATGGTAAATAGCATTGTACAATTTTAATAATTATTATAGTGGTTAAATATTATTATTGGAACAGCCGTAACTACTAACTAGCTTATGGATTGGAACGAATCAGCATGGGGCTCAAGCTACATCCACGCTGGGCAATATGGGGACACTACCCGTACATTGGAACACTACTAGGACCTTGGATAATGCCCGAACCTTGGAATCAATACATAGATATGGGACACCTGCCCATACCTTGGACACAGTCCGTCCATAAGATAACGGTACAGGAGAACATATTATTATTGGAACAGCCGTAACTACTAACTAGCTTATGGATTGGAACGAATCAGCATGGGGCTCAAGCTACATCCACGCTGGGCAATATGGGGACACTACCCGTACATTGGAACACTACTAGGACCTTGGATAATGCCCGAACCTTGGAATCAATACATAGATATGGGACACCTGCCCATACCTTGGACACAGTCCGTCCATAAGATAACGGTACAGGAGAACACTACCCGTACCTTGAATACTACTAGGACCTTGGATAATGCCCGTACCTTGTAAATAGTCCGTCCATAAGATAACGGTACAGGCGAACACTACCCGTACCTTGGATACTACTAGGACCTTGGATAATGCCCGTACCTTGTAAATAGTCCGTCCATAAGATAACGGTACAGGCGAACACTACCCGTACCTTGGATACTACTAGGACCTTGGATAATGCCCGTACCTTGTAAATAGTCCGTACCTTGGACCCTAAAAATATGAAACTCTTGTTCAAAACCAAACAAGGTCTAATAAACAAAATAAACCTACCTCGAATTACTTCCGAGGGCTCAATAATAAACAAAGAAACTGTCCTTTCTTCCATGTAACATTCAGGAGGACAAAAGCAAAAGAACACCAATGTGCCAGCAAAATACAAATATGAGTTAAGGTGGGTCAATCCAAAACTCTACCCTAAAAATATTCAATAATAATAACGAATCTAATAAAGATAATATCTCATCTTTACCTGTTGCTTCGAAATGGCAGCTGATTCAGATTTTGCAGCAAGATTTAAATTGCCATGTCTAAAAGCAGGATTTGCAACCGTGGCCAAAAGCAAAGTGATGTTAAAACGCAGAGAGGCGCCTTGACATATGACAAGGTTTTTGACAGCGCGCGCCTCCACAGAACAGTGAAACGATAGCAGGGTTGACGACTAGGGAACGTAAAAATTACGCCAAGCGTGCCAAATAACTATCCGGCCTGAACGAGAGGGAATCCGGTGATGATAGGTCAGACATCATATATTATATATAAAAAAGACATGTAACGAACTCAAAAAGCGTTACAGTGTTTTATAATACATTCTTAGGGATGTAGATTTATAAAAAAAATATCGATACATTGTCTGTTTCATACAAACAAAGTCAGGCTGAATTTCGTTTTTAGGGTTCCGTACTTAAACGGTAAAAACGGGAACCCTATTACTAAGAATTTGCTGTCCGTCCGTCCGTCCGTCCGTCCGT